GATTTTTATTTATTTATTTGAGAGAGAGCACAGAGGGAGAGGGAGAAGCAGGCTCCCCGCTGAGCAGAGAGCTTGATGCGGGGCTCCATCCCGGAACTCTGGGATCATGACCTGAGCCGAAGGCAGCTGCTTAACCAACTGAGCCACCCAGGTGCCCTTATTATTTCTTTTTTTTTTTTTTAAGATTTTATTTATTTTTTGACAGAGAGAGAGACAGCGAGAGAGGGAAAACAAGCAGGGGGAGTGGGGAGGGAGAAACAGGCTTCCCGCCGAGCAGGGAGCTGGATGCGGGACTCGATCCCAGGACCCTGGGATCATGACCTGAGCCAAAGGTAGACGCTTAACCAACTGAGCCACCCAGGCGTCCCTAGAATTAAACTTTTTCAAGTGAACAGTTCAGGGGCATCAGGTACGTTCGCAACATTGTGCAATCGACACCTGTTTCCAGTCGGCGTCCTGATGTCCCCGTTGAATGCGCTTGAGAGGAGAATTGTTGCTCACATCTGAGCTTCCTGACTCTACCTTAAATATTTTAACTGCTCAGTTAATTGTTTTGAGTGTGTTGTCTTTGGCCTTTTAACTTTTTTCACTTGATGCTGTAAGGTGTTACAACGTTGTTTTTGTAAGATGCTACAGAAAATTCATCTACCGAACACAGGCAGAAGTGAAATGAATAATTCTGGTAAACAAAAATATTACAGAGCTTTAGAGCTGCACTTGTGAAATTTGTAACGGAGATCACAAGAGGCTCCAAATGAAAAGCCCACGAGGTAGGTTAAAAGCCGGGGGGCGCCTGGGTGGCTCACTTATTAAGCGTCTGCCTTCGGCTCAGGTCATGATCCCGGGGTCCTGGGATCGAGCCCCGCATCGGGCTCCCTGTTCTGCAGGGAGCCTGCTTCTCCTTCTGCCTCTGCCTCTGCCCCTGCCTCTGTTTCTCATGAATAAGTAAATAAAAATCTTTAAAAAAAAAAAAAAAAAGCCGGAATAGGCCTCATAGAGAGAGGGACTTGAGCACTGGGGGAATACTTTACCATCACAAAGGGGTAGCGTGGCTTAAATGGAAGTTTTCGATTGTGATGATTATGATCTCTAAAGTCACTTATACCAGAGTGCTTTCACTGTGGGCTAATGATGCATGTAAATAGGACCAGAAGAAGGGCACTTAAAAACAATAAACCAGCCCTTTGGGGCGCCTGGGTGGCTCAGTCGTCAAGCGTCTGCCTTCGGCTCAGGTCATGATCTCAGGGTCCTGGGATCGAGCCCCACATCGGGCTCCCTGCTCGGCGGGAAGCCTGCTTCTCCTTCTCCCACTCCCCCTGCTTGTGTTTCTTCTCTCGCTGTGTCTCTCTCTGTCAAATAAATAAAATCTTTTTTTTTAAAGATTTTATTTATTTATTTGAGAGAGAGAATGAGATAGAGAGAGCATGAGAGGGGGGAGGGTCAGAGGGAGAAGCAGACTCCCTGCTGAGCTGGGAGCCCGATCCGGGACTCGATCCCGGGACTCCAGGATCATGACCTGAGCTGAAGGCAGTTGCTTAACCAACTGAGCCACCCAGGCGCCCCCAAATAAATAAAATCTTTAAAAAAATAAAAATAAACCAGCCCTTTTGTTGTTACTACATGAGGTTTTCCTCTTTTGGAGACACACCTTGACCTTGGAATCCACTGAAGGCTTAATGGTAGTAGCGTGGCTGCTCAGGATAGTCAGCAACCGTGGGACGTGAACACATAGAAAGTTATTATAAATCATTCATTCAAGAAATGTATCTTGAGCCCTCAGCAGGAGCCACACATGGTATCAGGTGCTGGGGGAAACGAAGAGGAGCAAAATTTGCCCTCGTAGGGGTCCGGGGCAGGGTGCCCCAAGACGGGCCGCTTTGGCATAAAGATGAGTTAAAAGTCATCAAAACCTAGCAGATGCAGGAAAAGCTCTCCGCCTCCCCTTCAACAGCCTAATTTTACATTGGAAAGGAAAGCCTGTACGAGGAAGAAAGCTATTAACAGAGACTCCCTTTTATCTAAGAACCTTGTCTGCATAACAGGGCAACCTTGTTTTTCAAAACATCTCCTTTCACCTTCCTGCTAATGAGCTCTCTCCCCTTTGTGTCCTCAGACACCTCCACCTCTCCTTAGCTCCTATAAGCTTCCATGGTGCCTCCTTGTCTTTGGAATTTCCCTATCTGTGTCGATTCCCCTAAGTATGCTATTAAATTTTATTTTCTCCTGTTAATCTGTCTCACGTCAATTCGATTCTTAGTCCTGCTAGAAGGACCTTGAAGAGCAGAGGAAGGTCTTCCTCCCCAGCACCCCCAAAATATGTCTCTTTGGTATAAGAATTCATCTAGGCTGATTTTAAAGAAATAGCAGACATAGGAAAAGCTCTGAAAACTGAGTAGAAGTTACCGTTTGTGTACAGGTCGTTAAACTGCTGTTTGTTTTTCTCCCGTTAATCTGTTTTTTAGGTAAGGGGGTATCTTCTATCCCAGGCTTTGATGGAAATAGAACGTGAACTTGGTGAGCTGCTTTTTGCCATTAGGCTTTAGTCTTTAAGGTTCATGTCCATGAAGATCTCTAAAACACGGTGGTAAATCTATGGATGCCATTCAGTTTTCTCTCTCTGGGATGGGGCTCATTTTCCATCCTGGTAGCTGTCTTGGTACTACTGATATGGGAAACAAAGGCAGAAGAAAAATTATTAAGTTTCCTTACTACCTAGAGCCCACTGACAAGTCCTTGAAGTAGGCAGAATGACATTCCTCTAGGGACTCAGCTGCCTCGATGTTAATACTTTGTTAAGGACAAAAGGCAATCCTAGCCCGCCCCCTCCCCCCCCAGGATCCTATAAGTCTACTTTCATGTATAAAAATTCCTTTGGAAACTTCCTTTATCGCTAAACCCCCCAAGATACATGTTGGCAATCATCCCCCAAGCATATGACCCACCGATATACATCCGAAGGGTCTCGTGACTCAGGTTTTATTAGACAGTAATAAAGGACCTTTTCCCAACAATAGCTAGACCCTCAAGGTCCTGGAAACCTTGCTTCCAAAATTCCTTAGAGACTTACGCTCTCCCTAACCCCCTCCCAACTTGAAAGTATATAATGGGCCACTCCTCATGATCCCGGTGCGGCTCTTTCTGCCCACGGGTCCTGTCCCCGTGCTTTAATAAAACCACCTTTTTGCCCCAAGGACGTCTCAAGATTTCTTTCTTGGCCGTCGGCTTTGAACCCTAACATCGTCTTTCCTACATCACTACCTTCTCCTCTGAGAATACTGGTGAAAAGCTGGGGAATGCAGGTGGCACTGTGTGATTACATGGTTCATTTTTAAGCCTCACTGTCAAGTTTTAAACTTCCCATTTTTCCTTGAACAAGAAATTGTTTTGAAAATAGACGTGGGGCGCCTGGGTGGCTCAGTCGTTAAGCGTCTGCCTTCGGCTCAGGTCATGATCCCAGGGTCCTGGGATCGAGCCCCACGTCTGGCTCCCTGCTCTGCGGGAAGCCTGCTTCTCCCTCTCCCACTCCCCCTGCTTGTGTTCCCTCTCTCGCTGTGTCTCTCTGTCAAATAAATAAATAAAAATCTTAAAAAAAAAAGAAAGAAAGAAAGAAAGAAAGAAAGAAAATAGACATATTGTGGGCGTCTGGGTGGCTCAGATGGTTGGGCGTCTGCCTTCGGCTCAGGTCATGATCCCGGGGTCCTGGGATCGAGACCCGCATCGGGCTCCTGGCTCAGCAGGGAGCCTGCTTCTCCCTCTCCCTCTGCCTGCTGCTCCCTCTGCTTGTGTGCTCTCTCTATCAAATAAATAAATAAAATCTTAAAAAAAAAAAATGAGCGGGTGCCTGGGTGGCTCAGATGGTTAAGCGTCTGCCTTCGGCTCAGGTCAGGATCCCAGGGTCCTGGGATCGAGTCCCGCATCGGGCTCTCTGCTCCTTGGGAGCCTGCTTCTCCCTCTGCCTCTCTCTCTCTCTGTCTCTCATGAATAAATAAATAAAATCTTAAAAAAAAAAAAAGAAAATAGACGTATTGTTTTGATTTGTTTCCCCTGGGGGAGACTATGCTTTCATAATATGCTGAGAGTATTCGATATTGAGTAAGATAAAAGCCTAGAACCTGGGGGCTGGTGTCAGTCTACCAGGAAACTACACTTTTCCACGCTGAATCACCCTCTCAAGGGGTTTCTGTGAACTAGAGAAACCTCATCACATGCCACAGGCCAGGATGATGAGACTACTTGTTATAATGGTCACTTATGTAGAGAATTTAATGGCAAGAGATTAATATTATTTGAAACTATATAAATTTCTGGAGTAGCAATTTCTGAATTTATTTGCACAAGCATATATACATATATATATGCATTATTTATTTATTTTTAAAAGATTTTATTTATTTGACAGAGAGAGACACAGCGAGAGAGGGAACACAAGCAGGGGGAGCGGGAGAGGGAACAGCAGGCCTCCTGCTAAGCAGGGAGCCCGATGCGGGGCTCGATCGCAGGACCCTGGGATCATGACCTGAGCGGAAGGCAGACGCTTAACCACCTGAACCACCCAGGCGCCCCTATTTATTTATTTTTAGAAAGAGAGCAAGCAGGAGCAGGAGGGGCAGACGGAGAGGGAGAGAAACTCTCAAGCAGACTTTGCACTGAGGAGAACCCGATGTGGGGCTCGATCTCACAACCTTGAGATCATAACCTGAGCTGAAGCCAAGAGTTAACCAACTGTGCACCCCTGCACAAGTATACTTTGTTTAAATGTCAAACTTGAGAAGTTTGAAGACTCAGAAGTAATTTTCTTTCTTTTTTTTTTTTAAGATTCTATTTGAGAGAGACAGAGAGAGAGAGAGAGAAACCGCGTGAGCAAGCACAGAGTGACAGTGAGAGGGAGAAGCAGACTCCCCAGTGAGCAGGGAGCCCGATGCAGGGCTTGATCCCAGGACTCTGGGATCATGACCTGAGCTGAAGGCAGATGCTTAACCAGCTGAGCCACCCAGGTGCTCCCAGAAGTAATTTTCCACCCAGAAAGTGACTTCTTTGTTGCCACCATTGATTCATACCAGGAAAATATCTGATAGGATGAGAGTTTTTCATGGGTTTTGAAACACTTATTCTTTTTATTCTTTCTTTCTTTTAGATTTATTTATTTATTAGAGCGAGAGAGAGAGAAAGCATGAGCGAGGGGAGAGGCAGAGGGAGAGGGAAAGATGCAGACTCCCTGGTGAGCACAGGGCCCAACTTGGGGCTCAATCCCAAGAGCCTGAGATCATGACCTGAGCAGAAACCAAGAGTGGGGCGCTTAACTGACTGAGCCACCCAACACTTTTGCTCTTCTGAGTGAATATCACAACTCCGTGGTTTTATCCCATAAACTCAGTGTTGTTTTTCTTCTGCTCTCCATTATCTTTCCTTTGTTTCAACCTTCCTAAGCATAACTCCTTAACTTGGGTTGAAAGGAGATCTGTTTTAACCTGCTTAAGAATGAAGAAGTAGGGGCGCCTGGGTGGCTCAATTGTTAAGCGTCTGCCTTCAGCGCAGGTCATGATCCCAGGGTCCTGGGATCAAGCCCCACATTGGGCTCCCTGCTCCGTGGGAAGCCTGTTTCTCCCTCTCCCACTCCCCCTGCTTGTGTTCCCTCTCTCGCTGTGTCTCTCTCTGTCAAATAAATAAATAAATAAATCTTAAAAAAAAAAAAAAGAATGAAGCAGTAAAAAGCACGATTGCACTTTACTGTTCGAAGGCGGCACTATGTAAAGCAGGGGGGTGGCACGCTAGAGCCATAGGCTAAATGCCACCTAGTTTTGTCAGTAAAGCTCCATTGGCACACAGCTGCACCCATTTTTTTTTTTTGCTATTGTCTATGGCTGCTTTCCTGCTACCAGGGCAGAGCTGAATAGTTGTTGGAGACCCACAAAACCTAAAACATTACTCTCTGGTGCTTCACAGAATAAGTTTGTTGACTGTTATCCGAAAGGAGTGCGACAAGAAAACTGTACAAGTCTCCGATGGGGTCTCGGTTTTCAAAATCTTTTTTCTATATAGTGAAGACATGTTCTTTAAAAGGTTCTAGAAGAATTCCTGACATGAGGTCCCACATTGAAAGACTACAGAAAAGTCTCTCTTCAACTTCTTTCTTCAGCCACCTTGTTCCCTTCCCTGGAGGCTGTTTTATCAAATTGTTCTGGGTCCTGCCTGCTATGTACCATGCAAAGGTGATTGTTTTATCATAATGTTTAAGCAGCGTTCTTATTTTGGATGAAATTATATTTCTCTCTTTAGTGAGAAAAGAATAATTATGGACTAATAAAAAATGTACAGGGGAAAGGTTCAGCTTGTGACGGATATTGTGCGCATGCTGTGGGTCCAGCCCTCAACTGATGCAGCAGAGAATATGGAAGACCTGCAGGATGTGGTCTGGCTGGGGGAGGGCCCAATATGATGCTTGAACTGAATCCTGAAGGATGAGTAGGAGTAGAGTAGATGCATCTTTATGTTAGAAACACTGGCAGGGGAGCGTCTGGGTGGCTCAGTCGTTAAGCGTCTGCCTTCGGCTCAGGTCCTGATCCCAGGGTCCTGGGATCGAGCCCCACATCGGGCTCCCTGCTCTGCGGGGTGTCTGCTTCTCCCTCTCCCACTCCCCCTGCTTGTGTTCCCTCTCTCACTGTATCTCTCTCTGTCAAATAAATAAATAAAATCTTTAAAAAAAAAAAAGAAAAACACTGGCATGGCCAGTCATTGGCTACTCCAAACATTTCCCAAGGATGCACTCGAAACATAGTGAGCCCACTTCCTCCATCTGGAGCATCCTGAAAATTGTGAGTCATTGTGAGGGCTCTCTGTATTCTCACTAACAGGCAGAGAGGCTTTGGTGGTGAGAAACCCAGCTTCCCACCCTAGACTTTAGAATAGCTCCACGATCTTTTTTCTCTTCCCTGCTCTACCCCAGCTGCTCTCTAGACCAGTGCTATCCAAAAAACAAAACGTAAAATAAAATAAAATAAAATAAAATGTGAGCCACATGTATTATTTGACATTTTCTGGTGGCCATATTAAAAAGTAGAAAGAAACAGATGAAATTAATTTTAGTAGTATAATATTATATGTATTAACTTCAGTAGTATAATGTTATATTATACTACCAAATGCTATAGCAATTATACAACACAGCTCTAGATTCTGTATAAAGAGGATGTACAGATCTACCACTTGCTCATGGCAGAATCCCTGGGTATGTGTCACAAAGCACAAGTATATATATTAATATCTCAATGCATCTCACGTTGGGTTATGAATATCTTTGTGTTTGAGATGTGAAGGGGTTCAGGACAGACACCCCCCCCCCCCCCCAGAATGTGCCACTTTGGCATGTGGATTATTTTGAGCTGAAGGCACTTGAAACTCTGCAGGAGTCTCAAGAGAAACTTGTCCCTCCCTTAACCACACAGAAGAATCTAAATTGGGGGTTTTCCCAGAATAAGGGTTATTAACAGAGATAAATTTTATCTGAGTGACCCATCTGGATGGTAGGGCAAACATAATTACTAAACCTCTGCTCTTCTTACCACCCTGTGAAATGCATTCCTTTCTTCTGAACTCCCAGACCCCTACCCGCCCCTCCTTGGTTCAGAATGACATATAGACCTCATTTTGCCTGACTGTTTTTGGAATTTCCATGTCTACATGGATTCCCCGTATGTATGCCTGTTAAATTTGATTTTCTTCTGTTAATCTGCCTCATGTCAATATGATTCTTAGTCCAGCCAGAAGGACCTTTGAGGGGACAGGAATTCTTCCTCCCCAACAAGCTGAAAGCAGTATATTGCAGTCATGTATGAGGCTTGCTATTGGATTTGGTAGTCGGCCTTCTTGCTGTTTTTTTCTGGTGGCTCTCCAGGTCCTCTAGCCCTACCTTTGCCTCTGGATTTTGAGAAAGTACTTCCTTCTTTCTTCCTTAGAATTCTCCAGATGCTGCATTGCATTCTTAAACAGAGAGAAGATGTCAGTCAGTTGGGTTTGCTGTTCTAGCATTTGTCACTCTCTACGCAGGACCGTTGTAGAGGAAATTTACTTGGCAGGTCCTTTCAGATTCTCCTTAAGAACATTTGCAAGTGGGGCGCCTGGGTGGCTCAGTCGTTAAGCGTCTGCCTTCAGCTCAGGTCATGTTCCCAGGGTCCTGGGATTGAGCCCCTCATTGGGCTCCCTGCTCAGCGGGAAGCCTGCTTCTCCCTCTCCCACTCCCCCTGCTTGTGTTCCCTCTCTCTCTGTCTCTCTCTCTGTCAAATAAATAAGTAAAAATCTTTTAAAAAAACAAAAAAACATTTGCAAGTAATGAGCAATTTTTGCGTTCAAAGGAGAATAACATTGACAGTAAAATCTAATTGCCAGTGTTGTACTTCTACATTCTGTCTTTAAAAAATTTATCTGAGTATAGTTGTTACATAGTGTTACATTAGTTTCACATGTACAACACAGTGATTCAAAGATTTTGTCCTTGATATGGATATAGTTTATAAAATAGCAGACCTCCTTGCAAATTTCAGGTAGAAGTTACTGGTGATTAGCAAATTTGGCCCTTCTCATCATTAGAATGGAAAAAAAATGGAACTTTTATTTATTTTTTATTTTTTTTAATTTTTAAAGATTTTACTTATTTATTTGTCAGAGAGAGAGAGAGAGAGCACAGGCAGGGGGAGCGGCAGGCTCCCAGCTGAGCAAGGATCCCGATGTGGGACTCCATTCCAGGGTCCCGGGATCATGACCTGAGCCGAAGGCAGATGCTTAACTGACTGAGCCACCCAGGTGCCCCAATCAAACATTTTTTTGACTCAACTTTGCTAATAGGGTGGGTGCTAGACAGTGACTTGGAGTCCTGTATTCAGAGAATTCAATCTGATATTAGGGGCAGTTAGGAAGAGATTCATAGCCAAGTAACATCTGATTCTTTCGAGTGCTTCAATGGCGAGATAGAATAATGTCATGGCATCTTACTGGGGAGGTGATGACATGGATGCAAGGCTTTCTATGTTACCGAGAGAAGCTGCCCACGCATGTGGACATGCACAAGAATGATTTGCTCCAACCTAGAATAGAGTTGGGTAAATTTCTGAAATTGTGACATGTTTTATGAAGGGATTCTATAATAGCAATAATGGGACTTTCAGCTGTTGAATGAACAGTGGGAAATGCTATGCAGATGGGAATTTATTAAATTCGTAAATTGCACCAAGCCTCCCTTTCTACAGCTCTCTTGATTCCTGGCCATTTCCGGCTTGATAATAAATAATTGTATATTAGGATAGTTCTTCTCTAATCTAAAAGAGAATAATGGCCTGTAGCAGGTGGGGAGTCTCTAATGCTAATGACCCAATCAAAGTTGTTTTAAAATGTCAGTTAACAAAGGCGAACCATAATATTGGAGCAGAAAATCCTTTAAGTGGCTACATAAAGGATGCCTTTCTAATAGCTATGTAAATGATGTTTTCCTTAATTTAGGAGTGAGATTTAATGTTTATTGGACATTTGTTTTAAATTTAGCATGTCGTCTAGTCTGTTGATCTCAACAGTGCATTTCAATTCAGACTAAGCCCGTTTTAAGTGCTCAATAGTGGTTCTCTCTGGCGTGCCAGGCTCTGTGGCTGGGGGCACAGAAATAGGAAGCTTTGGTGTCCAGAATACATCCTTAATAAGAGTTTATATATAATGTTACTTCTGTCCTTAGTGATTAGGGGAATATGAGGGCGGGGCTAACCTTAACCTATGGTTTGTATCTTGCAAAGCTGGGACTCACCAAAGCCAAAGCCCCCTTCATGGAGAGAATGGAGCTGAATTCTCAGAGCAAACTGCCTGGTCAGGGGTGGCCTCCCTGGAAAACTACTGACCTGAATTAGATAGAAGGCAGCCTCCCCCATAACAGCATCCTCTTGATCATCACACTTGATCAGAGTGTGGTAGTGTTTCTCTGCATCTGTTTTCTCTGTGTTTAATCTGGAGCCAGACAATATGGTTTGGCTAGTTTTGGAATAGCAGTTATTTGCTTTTGGTATCTTTCGGGTCTTGCAGAAACAGGCCAGCTTAACCCAATTCAGCCCAGGCAGAAAGAATTCAGAAAGAGCATCAAAGGAAAAATAACATATAACCTAGAATATCACATGGAAATACAGCACAGCTCAGGTAAATGCTTGAGGTATTTTTATTTTGTTTTATCTTGCTTTCTTTGATTCCTCAACTGCAACTTCATTCTTAGGCCACCCATAGAAACTCAGGAAGACAACCATGATAGCTACTAACTAACTAAACATGATAGCTACTAACTTCAGGGGTTAAGCTACTTCGAATTTACATCCTAGAAATAAGGCTTATTATGAAGGCCAAACTGCCCTTGGTGGGATTCCACAGCTGTGAGAAAATGCAGCCGACCCAAACAAGGTAATGTATTTTTTGTCCACGCCAGAGGTTTTCTTCAGCAAAGAGGTAGGTAAATATGGTGGCATATACTTATCACATAACTGAAAATGTCTTTTTTTTTTTTTAATAAGACATCTCTTTTTTTCACCCAGAGACACACCTGGAAGTGACTTACCATGCAAGGGAGCATATGTGTTGCCAAAAACTTTTTAAGCCCTTTTGCCATACCTTATTTAACTTAAGAAATCCTATTTTATGATAGTCATCAAAGACAAAGTGGTAAAATTATAAATCACTTACATGTAATGCAGCTATATGAAAAACAGTAAGAGTATAAGTCATTTACGTGCAAAATAGCTATATGAAATCACATTAAAAAGTAACTCACCAAGGGGCGCCTGGCTGGCTCAGTTGGTAGAGCATGCAACTCTTTTTTTTTTTTTTTAAAGATTTTATTTATTTATTCATGAGAGACAGAGAGAGAGAGAGAGGGAAAGAGAGAGGGAGGCAGAGGGAGGGGCAGGGAGCCCGATGCGGGACTCGATCCCAGAATGCTGGAATCATGACCTGAGCTGAAGGCAGATGCTTAACCATCTGAGCCACCCAGGGGCCCCGAGCATGCAACTCTTGACCTCGGGGTCATGAATTTGAGCCCCACGTTGGGTGTGGAGCCTTCTTTTTAAAAAAGTAATTCGGGGAGGGGGCCGAGGCCGGGTCACCTTTACTGGGCCGGGAAGGCAGGGGTTTGGCTCTGGCAACCGCGCTGCGATGTGGTTCGAGATCCTGCCCGGGATCGGCGTCACGGCCGTGTGCTTGGTCCTCCCGGGCATGGCCACAGCGCACATCCACAGGTTCAGTAACGGGGGCAAGGAAAAAAGGGTTGCCTATTATCCATATCAGTGGAGTTTGATGCAAAGAGATAGGCGGGTCTCTGGAGTTAATCGTTACTATGTGTCAAAGGGTTTGGAGAATATCGATTAAGGAAGCATTTTCCTGATTGATGAAAAGTAACTCAGTCATACTCATCTACCCCTTCTAGAAGGTTATGCAGTGTATTAATGTAGTGCATAATAAAAACAACAAAAAAGTAAAAAAAATAAAAATAAAAATGATAATTCATTGACAAAAAAATTGGGAATATAAATGGTTCTCTTCAGGTGGTGGGGAATATGGGGAAGGTTTTTTTTTTTTTCTTGTTCTAATTGCTTTTATTTTTTAGGAGTCGTCCAGAACGAGTCAGTAAAACACTTAACTTTTGTTATTTATTTAATTAAAAATTTTTTCTGACACAGAGATCTCAGTTCACCATGCATCTTCGTTCATGGCTCACTACCTTCCGTGGTCAGTCCAAGGCACCTGATTTTTTTTAATCCCACCCCAAATATGTTCTTAAAAAGGTATAATAAACCCCGAAACACTGACAGTGCTGTTTTGTGCATGTGTTTGTGTCAAATTTATACAGATGGTATCGTGCCACAATTCTTTTTTTTTTTTTTTTAAAGATTTTTTATTTATTTATCTGAGAGAGAGAATGGGAGACAGAGAGCATGAGAGGGGGAGGAACAGAGGGAGAAGCAGACTCCCCACTGAGCAGGGAGTCTGATGCGGGACTCGATCCCGGGACTCCAGGATCATGACCTGAGCCGAAGGCAGTTGCTTAACCAACTGAGCCACCCAGGCGCCCCACAATTCTTACTCTATATTTTCCTGCTGTTGTTCAACACCATGTTTTTGAAGTCTATCCCCGCTGCTGTATGTACATTTAGTTCATTGCTTTGGGCTGCTGAGTAGTAGTCTTTCGTCTGCATCCATGCCATTTACTTACATATTTCTTGAGTTGCACCCACCTTCTTGCTGCCACAAAGAAGGCTGCGTAGAATATCCCTGAACATGTACCCGAATGTTTTTCTGGAATACACATATCCAGGAGTGGAATTGCTGGGTCATAGGAAATAGGCACACTTAATTTAGCCAAAACTGGCCAGGTTGCTTTTCTGGAGAGTGGCCATCGCAGCCTGTCTACATTTCCATCAGCAGGTGAGGAGTGTGCCACTTCCCATTGTACTTGTCAAGTATTAGTCACCTTTTTGATTTTTGCCCATCCGCTGAGTGCAAAGTGGTATCTCAATGTCGTTTTGACATTTCTCTGATTGCTGGTGATGGTGACCATCCCGGTTTCCTCCTTTGTGGATTATCTCTTTTTAATCTGTGGGATTTTTTTTCTCTTTGACTTCCTGACTTAAAAATATATATATATATATATACACACACACACATAAAGCTTTACTGAGATATAATTTGCATGCTGTAAAATTTACCCACTTAAAAAGCAGACATTAGTTTTTAGTATATTCACAATGTCATGCAAGCATCACCACGATCCATTTTAGAATTCTTTCGTCAGCCCCAAAAGTGACTGTGCCTTTAGCTCAAGGAGACACATTTAGGTTGGGCACTCCCTGTAACCTTGTTGGTCGCACAGGTCTGGACAAAACGTCCGTGGACTCTGGTTGCTGGAGCCCTGGTTTCTGCTTTCCATAGCGTGGCTCAGGTTTCCTTGGAGTGTGTGAGCTTCCTCAGTGTCCTGCCCACAAATTCTTCCACAGCCCATGCCCTCACTTTGTGCTTTTTGCCAGCATTGGTTTCTGTTTGCTTGCAATCAAAAGAACCTAAACTAAGTCAGAAATTTGAACCTAGAAGAAGGATTTTGCAAGCAACAGACCCTAGAATGTGGGACTGATAGAGTTGTAGTAGATGGCAGGGCCCCCCGTCCTTTCTATAATAAAGGGCAGCAAAACTGTTGATCAGACTGTGATTCGTTTCCTCCCGGGACTGTGTACCTACCTGTAAAATGTCTGAATGTTTCCCAGGGTGAGCTGCTTTTCTGCCTTTCTTGAGGTGCTCTGAGAGAGAGAGCTAAGTTTTGGTTCAAGATGATCCAGCTGAAAGAAGAGAACAAGGCTGGTGCAGAGCTTTATTAAGAAAGCATACAGCCCGGGGCATCTGGGTGGCTCAGTCGTTAAGCGTCTGCCTTCGGCTCAGGTCATGATCCCAGGGTCCTGGGATCGAGCCCCGCATCAGGCTCCCTGCTCAGCGGGGAGCCTGCTTCTCCCTCTCCCGCTCCCCCTGCTTGTATTCCCTCTCTAGCTGTCTCTCTCTGTCAAATAAATAAATAAAATCTTTAAAAAAAAAAAAAAGAAAGAAAGCATACAGCCTGGCCAATGATCTGATATATCAAAGGTCTGTCTGCCATGCCCCCTTAGGAAGTGGGCTGCTAAGATGGTACGGTGCTCAGCAAGGGAATCCTCTTAGCACCTTTCTCAGGTGGGGCTTTGGAAGACACTGGGTGAAGGAAATCCAGTGGGCACAGCCTCAGTTAATCAAGGACCTCTTGTCATTGCCAGAGAAGCCAATCGACAAGCGGACATTTACAAAAGATGGTCCAGGAGGATTGTGTCCATGCTTGAAATGTTGCTTTACTTTTTGCCTTTTTATTAAACATTTTTGGTCTCTCTCTCCTCATGTAGTATATCAGGTATCATTCAGGCCACAGATTGCAAGACCACAAGATGCCACATCTCATCTTGCCTAAGTCATGGACATCACCAAGAGATAACTTGACTTGGCAGCTCGATAGGGAGACTAGCTATAATTTTTAATTGTCTCATAATGGGGAAGGGGGGGTGGGGATTCAGTCCATTCTTGGTTGTATGTGGAGTAACTGTATTATGTTAGGTGGTAGTGTTTAAAAAACATGTGCATAGGATTAAAGACATGCGCAGACATGCACGCACGTGTGCGCGCGCGTGTGTGTGTGTGTATGCACCTAAACTACCAAAGATAAACTATGGTATACATTTATTATTTTGTTTTCCCAGAGCAGAGAAGAAGGCTGTATTAGTCAGGTTTCTGCTGTGATAATGCTACGTAACAATTAACACCACCCTCCCATCCCCAGCATCTCAGTGGCTTACAAAAGCAAGCACTTATTTCTTACTCATGGGTCTGCAAGTGGTTGTGGCTTTGCAGGGCTTGGCTTCTAGCTGCAGGTTGGTTTCTGGTCTGCTCTATGTACCACTAGTGGCTACTCAAGGCATGTTCTTCTCATTGCCAATGGCAGAAGTATGATAGAGGTCAAACCAAACTCTGTGAGCACAGTTAAAGCCTCAGCTTCAGTTCCATTAGCTAAATCATTGAGGACTGGGATTTATTCTCTGCCCACAGTAAGCCCTAGAGGAGAAGGGGAAGGAATGAAGAACTGAGAATAAATAAATCATTCTACCACACTCCCTCTTCTTCTAAGAAACTAGGCATGGGGCTTAAATGTGTTTTCTCTCTCAGCAGATTACATTATTACCCATTCAGTTGCTCATGTTAGAAGCCTATGATATAAGAGAGGGTCCAGACTGGGAAGGGAGGAGCATTTGTTTAATTTCAGATATATTGAGTTTGAGGTGAGTATGGGATAGAGAGATGACAAGACTGTTGGCTATATAGATCCAGAGCCAAACCATTTTGGTTGTTTAGGTTCTACTCAAGCTCCTACAGGTTTTATAAGTGGGGCTACTGATGAGAGTTACTAGTTTCTTAGAATCCTCTCCACTAAGGTGTCCTTATGATGTAACTCTCATGAAATTATTCTGGATTTTTAACCAAAACTGGTCCTGGTCCTGGCCTTTCATATATAACTCTGTGAATTGCTAAATGTCAACATCAAGGTTTCTATGTGAAATTCCCATGCAGATATTTATTACTTCAGAGAACTTTTATGACTGAAGGGCATTAGCAAGTAATATTTTTCAATCTAGAACTGCTTTAGTCCACCATTTGTAAAGATTCTCCTGAAAAAGAATTTTCTGCGCTTGTGTAAATACACTTGAGTCATCATATCTTGTGCACATTGTCTGTATTGATTAATGGTCTCTTGTTTGCTTCCTTTTGCTTGTTGTATTTATAGCTCACATTACTTATAATTGTTGGACAACATAATATGGACCAGATGGCTTCATTATTCTGTGTTTCACATTTTGAATTTTAAATGTTGTGTTGGACTGCCTGTCAGTGGAAAGCTGTGTCCTGGAGGAGATATGAGGCCAAAGCATAGTTCAAAGATCCCAGGCCAGATACCATGGACAGTAAGTGCTGTTGAGGTATTACTTTTGAGGTTTTCTCTGGCCCCTCTGCCCTTGGAAATTCAGACTGGAAGGTCAAGGGGGGGAGAGAGACTGTGTGTCAAAGGCCCTCTGAAGCACTCAGCTGGCCCAGGATTGCATTGTGTTTGAAAATGCTCTTTCCCAATAAGCTCACAAAATTTATTATGTGTTAGGAATTTTAAGTATAGCTACTAATATTTTAAAATAAGTGTATCAGTCAGGGGCCTAGCAGGAAACAAATGATATACTCAAATAGGATAACTGAAGAATGGTTACTTAAGGGACTCTTTACAATAGTATGGGTTAAGGAAAACAAGGTACAGTGAAGTAACAACAGTCTTTCCTGGTCTCGACTTCAGACTAAAACATTGGCTCTTCTTGGGTCATGAGCCTACTGGCTTTTGTACTGGAACTTACCTCATTAGCCCTCCTGGTTCTCTGGTCTTCAGACTCGGACTAGAACTATACATTAGCTTTTATGGGTCTCCAGCATCTCCAGCTTGCTGACTCATCTGGCAAATCATGGGACTTACTCTCCATAGTATTATAAGCCAATTCCTTATAATGAAGTGTGCACTCTCTCTCTCTCTCTCTCTCTCTCCCTCCGTCTCTCTCTCTCTCTCTCTCTAACACACACACACACATTGGAAAACCCTGACTAATACAGAGGGCAAGGCAACAGGTGCTGTGACCTTTCTTAGAGGGACACATAGACAATCCTAACCACCAGGCAGTGGGGGGAGCTGGGAGAATAAATACTTAAATCTCACCTTTCTCCCTGGTGCCTCCAATTGGTTGAACTCACCTGGAAGTTATAGAGCAAGGGAACCAGTGATTCAGTCTTTATAGAGTCTGAACTATAGAGCAGGATGGAGGGTGAACAGTGAGTCTAGAGAGGCAAATGGAGCCTTTCCAGATTAAGTTTCTATTACAACTATTG